GGACGGGGATTCGAACCCGCGACCCGCAGATTGCGAGTCGAGCCCCCTAACCACCTGGCCAAAATTCAAACGTAAAGAAGAATTTTCAGTTGAGACCTCAAAAGGAAAGACATATTTATTCCATCTTTATCCTCACACAAAAAAACAACAAACAACACGCACACAATGCAATTTTAATACTCTAATGTTTCCGTTATAAAATGCTTAGAATGTACTCATTTTACTCGGATGTGAACAGCAACCAATATGAAAACTTTATTCTATAACGAGTAATTCTATTGTATTTTGCTGTTTCTATCATTCAGTCATGCAATTATACTCGTTATAATAACTGTTTTGTTAGCAATGAACTAGTTATTTTCAATTTTTTTATCGAAATGAGTTTTCAAAACAGATGCTTAAACTAAGAGTGTCAGTTTATGTTTTCCAATCAACGACACAACTGTTTGCGGTTTGAAAAAATAGAAATAAAAGACTGAGTAGAGAAATAAATAATAATTACCCATGTTTCAAAATATTTCCGGCAAGTTCCTTAATTACTATCTGTGTACATTTCTGACATTAACCAGGCAAGTTCCTTAATTACTATCTGTGTACATTTTTGACATTAACCAGGTAAGTTCCTTAATTACTAACAGATGGTTAATGTCAGAAATGTACACAGATAGTAATTAAGGAGCTTGCCTGGTTAATGTCAGAAATGTACGGCAAGTTCCTTAATTACTATCTGTGTACATTTCTGACATTAACCAGGCAAGTTCCTTAATTACTATCTGTGTACATTTCTGACATTGACCAATGAAATAAAGAACTAATTATGCTTCAAATGACAAAAGACAGAAAATATTATATAGAGAGTATATATGTCATACACGTATTTATTTTATTTTTTAACAGTTTAGCTGTTGTTTTCTAAGTGCAAAGCTATAGAATGGACTATCTACACTATGTCCACCGCATGGAATCAAACACAGGATTTCTTAACATGTTAATTAGTTATTTTTTTGTCGTTAATAGTCAAATAAAATAACTCTAACGATTTGAACCGCTTTTGAACACACCCAAATATGCTTCTGTAATGAAGAGCTCGCACAACATTTATACTAACAATAACAAGTGGGATATTTCTTACGCTACTTTAATGATATGACTGATTTTTCAGCAAATATTTTGCTTTTTCTAATTATTATCGACTCCTCTTACTTATAACAAGGTTTAACACTTTACCACTAACCTCTGTGTTTTTCCGCGCTAATAAGCCAAACTGTTCGAAGTCAAATATTTTTAATCTGTGCTCATTAATTCCCTACAAAAGCAAAACAAATACTGCTTTATATATTTCTGTTGTTTTTATTCAAAATTTACACTGAATGAAAACTGTACTTAGCTCACGTATGTCTCAAAATAAGAGCTGAATAAGGTGAAATTATGAAAGTGTACCAAAACATATATGACGTTTCCAAAATATTATAATACATTCTATTATTAATGTGTATGGAAAAAATACCCACTTCCACCATTACAAGTGCGATATATTATCTTTCCAGAGGCTCAGTGGTAAGTCTGAAGACTTATAACGCTAAAAAACGGGTTTCGATATCCTTGGTGGGCCCAGCACTGATAGCTCGTTGTGTAGTTTTGTGCTTAACAAGAAACAAACAAAGCTTTACATCGATATGTAGAAGCCTGAACATTGTCGGTTCAAGATGAATTATGTTATATCTGATAAATTCAAAATAATTTAATGTGTTTAAACACACCTAGTAAGAGCTTATAACTCTAAAAATCGGATTTCGATACTCACAGTGGGCATAGCACAGATAGCTCAAAGTATTCAACGGTAGAAGTTGTACTTTGTTAGTTGTTTTAATTTTTTAAAACTCTAACTTGATTGTTGCAGCGTGTTATTTTTATTTTTAAGTCAAAGTGTATACCGGAGGAACAACAATGAAAATGGTTTCTAAACTTTATTTAATTCCCTAAATTTCCACTCAATATTTCATTAAAATAAAATGTTTACGAGATCTTCAGGATTTGAGAAAAAGTTCTCAATATCAAATGAATAAATTATAATTTACTACATCTATCATTGATAAAACAAAACCCTGTCTACTCTTTTCTTTTTTGAAGTACTGGCATAAAAAGAGAGATTTCTCCCTTATGTAAACATTATTCTTCAACAAAAAAATGTTCTGTCTTAAACAAGTACTTGTGTTATATCATAAAATATGTGTTAAAAAATTTTGTTCCTCTGTACGTTTTTAAAATGATTCGCTGCATCTAAATGTGATTTTGATTAGCTTATTCAAGCGTTTGTGGTGTCATCTTGGGTTCTGGAGCCTTAATAGTTTTTAGATCGCAGTTTTGAGTTGGTAAAGTTGAATGCGGTTTAATGGTGCTTTTCTTTTCTGTCTTGGCTCTGAAGGTAAGGGACTCCAAATGAATGAAGGGCTGCTCTACTGTGACATTACAGACGTAAGAAAGAACCAATGAAAAAGCGGTGTTTCCAAGAAACAAGTACATCTGAAAAAATTAAAAACTTTAATTAAATTTAACCAGCGAATTTGATCACCGAAACTATTGTAAAAACCAAAAACGTAAGTTTAACCTATCAAGTTTTATCACTGAAAGTATTACCAAGGCCGAAGACTTACGTTTGACCTGTTGGATTTAAAAACTGAAATTATCATGAAGACTAAAATCAAGTTTATTTTCTCGAATTTAATTACTGCAAACATTATGAAGAACGTAGACTTAAATTTGATCGGTTGGATTTTAATCTTAAAGCCACGAGAAAAATAAACTTAATGTTTACTTGGTAAAACAGGTAGAAACTGAGGGTTGAGAGAGTTTATAGATTAAGAAAATTCCAATCTGTTTAACATTCTGATAACGATATAATTTAAGTAAATATGGGGAAAGTAAACTTCTCTTTGTTTTGCTCTTCTTTTTTGAATTAAAAAAAGACAAGATATTTAAGAGGAATAAATTATTTTTTTTCAGAAAATGTCATCAACTTTGAAGATACAACGACCCATAACGAATGCAGTAGAAAACAAAAGATGGCAGCTGTTTGTATTTTATGGTAATTAAGCATGCATATGGTGGATATTTTGTCCTTTTAAAATGACCAGTAAGGAAGAGACAAACTTTCTATGTGTAATATGATATTTCTAATGAACATTTTATGCTTTTAGTGAAGTGAAAGATCTTACCATTTCGAAATGACTAAGAAACAGACGTTCCTGGAGAGATCCACGTCGATAGAACAATACAAGCGGGTGTACCAAATAAAAGCAGTAACTTAGGTTGCTTAGCGGTATGAAGATTTTAGAGGATAGGAACTTGTTGATAATTCCTGAAAGTAGAAGAAGATAACAATCAATTAGAAACCTTTTATTCAAGATATCAGAAGCCTTATATACATTACACAACATTTTTCAATCCTTTAAGCTCGAGCCATCAGATGTTGATGACCAAAGTTTGACGATTGAAACATCTTAGGTAATGTAAATATAATTTCTAAATCATTGAATAAAACATTTATTGTTGTACTAAAAGTCATTATTATTTCTCTTCTTTTAAATATTTCAACTACAAATCCATAATGTTCATTTAATAATTTGGTTTTGTTTTAGGGTAAATCTGTATTGTGTCCGCTGCGGAAATTAAACCCCGAATGCTAGCGTTATAAACTCTCGAGCTTACAACTGAACTACTAGGGGACGACGATGAAAACTAGCTTAATCCGCTTAAGATTTTTATTTTTGTCCTTGTTGGTATAAATTTCATACAAGTGCAACTTACATATTTCTAAGAAGTTTTCAAATTCTATCCAATTGTATCACATAGTTCTAGCTTTTTCAAATGCGAATTGATAACATTAGCAGAGCTTATATGAAACAGTTCACAAGCTTTCTATTAATCACCAACTAATGAGTTTAAACAAAAACAAAGTAAACAGGATTAGTTATAAATAAATTACGTTATAATAGTGTCACAAGACTTACAATTAATAAACAAAATTGTTAATTTTTTTACTTCTTGGAACAATTACGAAAATTAGTTATACATTAAAAATCGGTACCCGATAACCACGGTGGGCACAACTCGGGCAGCCCACTTTGTAAGTTTGCGCTTAAAAAATTGAAAAAGAAGAAAAAGAAATTCGACACCTAAAGACATTGGGGTGTTATTTGGTGGATTAATATGGCAAAGTGAAACAGAATTACAACTACTGTAGACTAATTGTTCAACTTGAGTATTAAAACGACGAAACCCGAAGGTTCAAATAAAATGTACTGACATTACTTATGCATAGACTTAATTCACTACAGCGTCTTGAAGAACATTCTGGTTGTTGGTATGTTTCTTTTATATTTAGAACACGTGTCACAACCTTAGTACCCATGATATAAATGCAATGCAACGACCACTTCATCAAGAGATATGGAAAACCAGGCAATAATCCATGTGCACAGATCATATTAAATAGAATAATATAATTCTTGAAATGTGAATTATTTGAACTTTATCTTTCTTTTCACAGGAATGAAAACAATACACAAACATATTATAAAAGTAGTCTAGAAAGATATTTCTTTAAAATATACCTAATCGATACGTTTTACACGTAACGTCAACTAGTATTTCGAACCTAAAGTATTTGTTTCTTTTGCCAAAAGATATCTAAAAGCTTCTCCTAAGATTGAAATTTATTTGTTTGCATGAAACCAGTCTTCAAGGTAAAGTACTAGTAGTCTTATCAGAAACTAATTCGCTCTTGAAGATGTGTAATTTATCCGTGTCATGGTTGTACTAGTTCTTCAAGTAATTGTGATAAAAAAAGTATAGTTACTGCATTAAGTCATATTAAAAAGAAGAATTTCACGGTAAAGTAATATGTATTGCAATAGTTCCTCATGTTTTCCCCTTGATTTCTGATGAAAAGATCACTTGTTTCAGCCCTTTCTTCTAAGTTAGGCAAGTTTCACAAATCGTCATCTCTTATTAACAATCTTTGGTTAAGCCTATGCAAAAAGCAGTTGACAATCCAGCTTAAAGCAATGAATTTAACTTATGTTATAAGTGTTTCCAATGCCGTATTCTCAGTGATAATGTTTTCGCAAAAAAATAAGTTCACTAACAGAAAAATATAACAAAATATAAACAAATATATTTCTATGTCTTTCATCTCGGGGATAGACGTGGTTGTGTTATTGCAGTATTTCAATCTTAATGCTAAATACCTAAAGCGGCATAAATGAATACTACTTAACTAGATAGGACTGTAAAGACAATAATAGAACACACATAGGAAAAACCAACATAAGATAATAATAATCAAATGAAAGACATTTTGTTTTGAATTTCGCGTAAAGCTACACGAGGACTATCTGTGCTAGTTGTCCCTAATTTAGCAGTGTAAGGCTAGAGGGAAAGCAGTTAGTCATCACCACCCACCGCCAACTCTTGGGCTACTCTTTTACCTACGAATAGAGGGATTGACCGTAACATTATAACGCCCCCCCCCCCTAAGGATGTTCGTCAGGGCCAAACATACACATGTTCTATCCAACCACCAAGGATGTTCACCATAGCTCACCATACACATGTGCCATATAACCACAAAGAATGTTCACCATGGTCCACTATACACATGTTACAATAACCACCAAGTATATTGGTCAGGGCCCAACATACACATGTTCTATATAACGACCAAATATATGTGTAAGTAATCCGTAAACGGACACACATACACACAGAGAAATACATAGATAAATGTTCTTGTTCGTGTGAAGTTAACATCCCAGGTTTACGACTATTCTCAATGCCTGTCTTTTTCCTCAGATATAGCGTTGTGTTGACCTTCCATATTGCTTTATAATTTATTTGAACGTTAGATGTGAAAGCATTCTTTCTTACAGATAAAATATTTCAAGGGCCATGCTTCATTTGCATTAATTTATTTCGAAATGATTGACAACAAATCAGCACCCAAAGTTCACAAATAGAAGGAGACTAGATCATTCAATACCTAGACTGAAATGCATGTACATAAATAATAATTATTTTAGTTCAACAAAGGTTCTCTCATTCCGGAAAACAAATTACCCACCCACAATCTCATTACTAGACATTAAAGTAAAACATATGGCAGTTTGTTTGGGATTCAGGAGTGTTGTGCATGAGGCTTTCAAAAGTTATATGTACAAGTAAAGTGAAATTTAATATTTATAACTTTACCTCCATATCTAGGTCATCACTAGACATTAAAATAAAACATATGGCAGTTTCTTTGCAAATTTCACTTTACTTGTACATATAACTTTAGAAACCCTCATGCATAACACACCAGAACCAAATATTCATAACTTTACCTCCATATCCAGGACATCACTAGACATTAAAATAAAACATATGGCAGTTTCTTTGCGGTTCTGGTGTGTTATGCATGAGGGTTTCTAATGTTATATGTACAAGTAAAGTGAAATTTAATATTCATAACTTTACCTCCATATTCAGGACATCACTAGACATTAAAATAAAACATATGGCAGTTTGTTTGCAGTTCTGGTGTGTTATGCATGAGGGTTTGTAAAGTTATATGTACAAGTAAAGTGAAATTTAATATTCATAACTTTACCTCCATATCCAGAAATGCAGACAAAAGCAACCCAGCTGACTCCAAGGGCCCAGACTGTTCTGTGACAGGCTGCATAGACTGCAGCAAGGACAGGATGCATCGGTGTACCTCTTCTATATTGGTATGGTCCACACAGTGTTAACAGGCATAAAAAAATAGAGCAGGACCATCCTATCACTTGAACTTTCTATTAAGATAAGAAGTATTGAAGGATACGATTGTTCTTACAACTGTTGTGATGTTAAATATTGTGTGGCATCATAATAAAACAAATAAGATAATCAAGCACAGTTGGTATTATTACTTTAAATTATTTTGTTCATTATTAGGGTTAAGACAGCCATTTATCTAAATCAAGATAAGAGAAAGGTATTGAATACTCTAGGACCGATTATCGTTGAATTCTTGGGATTAGGTATTATTAGATAGCCATTATTAGAAGTGATCAATTTCCCCCTTGTTTGTTTTCGTTTAATGTTTTAAGCCTTATTTTCTGTGTTTATTAACGAAAATAAGTTATTTAAAGAAATAAAAAAGACTGTAGGAACAAAAGAGAAGTTTTCCAAACATGTCAACAACCATGACAGATGGGTTTTAATTATAATAAATGCAATATAATGCAGGCGGGTTATCGTAATTTGAAAAATAAGTATAATTTGGATGGAATAACTTTAACAGTGTTATGGAAGAAAGGGGTCTAGGTGTAGTGGTTGATTAGTCTCTTAAGCCATCCAAGCAGTGTCCTGTTGCTAGTGGTAGGGCAAATAGGATGTTAGGTTGTATCTACAGAAAGTTTGAATATAAGTCTAAATAAGTTATAATTTCATTGTATAAGTCATTGGTTAGGCCACATTTGGAGTATCATGTTCAGCCTTGGGCTTCTTACCCTATGAAGGACATTCAATTGTCGAAAATCGTTCAGAGGAGGGCTACTGGCCTGGAATGAGGGGATCTGATTGAGGTGTTTAAAATTGTTAAGGGAATTGATAGTATTGATGCATCACCTTTTTTCGTACTTAATGGGAAGAATAGTAGGACTAGGGGACATAAATATAAATATTTTGGCAGTCATTTTCATCTAAAACAGTTCTATTTTTCTAACAGGGTAGTTGTGTTTGGAAAGTAAATTCAAATGAGCATAGGAGAAAGTTTGGTAACTATATAAATGATAAGGGCTGACTTTGAGGGGTTTTTATTTAATTATTTTAGTTTAAGGATGGAACAGCCTAGATGAATCAATAGGTTCTTTGTTGACCCTAAACAATATGTTATATTTTATGTTATTACCAAAGAGAGTATAAATATAAATATTTAAATGCTGTATAATTTACATTACAACAGAATTAAATAATAATAATAATTTAGAGATCATAAATAAGTAAATAAAATAGTTTATTCTATTATCAAACGAAAAAACACGGATCCTGAACTGAAGCACTGACACGACCGCTTAAATTAGTTTTAGAAGGATTAAATAAGATAGCAACTTGAGCAAATTAACGGAGTTTTTTCTCCAAATCAAACCTTTTTACATTGTTATAAAATCAAACTTGTTAGGATTAACATATTATTAATTTGAAAAACTAGTATATTTAGAAAGCACACAAACAATCGAACCTTTACATAATATCTCACCTTAGTCAGTAGTACAGAGTGCCATCTGATGATAACATAACCAAGACCAACTCCAACACAAAATGCTCCGACGTGGGAATACGGTTTGGTGTATACAAGGGTCATCACCTCTTCATAACGTCTTTAAATATTGTAACAATTTATTACTAATAATTCATCATTTTATTTCATACATATTTGAAGTTGTATAGGGTAGGAATAACGATATTATAACTATATATCCTCCAATTAAGTTTATATGTTTTAGTTCTAAATTTGATAAAATTCATAAAAAAAAATTATATATACATGTATATGTATATGGTGTGTATATGTGTGTCGAACAAAAGGAATCTTTTTGAAATTGAAAGATTATCAGACAACTTTCCCTGAAAAAATAAAAGTATGATATAGTTTTACATATACTGTTTATTTTGAATTAAAAATGTGAAACCATACGGAGGTAAGGGATGTTGTTATGGCCCAAAGCTAAACAATGGGCTATTTACACTATGTCTGCTGTAGGGAATAGATCTTTGGATTTTACCGCTGGTCCACAGGCAGACAAGAATTAAGTGATAGACACCAAGGAGTTTTGGGTAAGATGTCAATCAATAAGGTATACAAATACATTTTAGAAATACTGACACTGTATGTTTTGTAACGTGTTATCACAAAACAGGTATTTATGTTTTTATATAAAAAACACAACTTAATACCTACTTGTAAGATCCAACTGAAAACAAAGCTGTGGGTGGAAGATGGTATAAATATGTGACAACCCCTGTCAGAACAGCACCACCTAGCAGCATTCCCATATTGCAAATCCATCCAAGTACTGGCCAGCTGAAATTCCGATTATATTAATATACACTATATCCTACCGTCTATCTTCACAACTATCCAGTTTTAATCGACTATATCAACAAGTATTGGCATGACTTGTATTTCTCTATAAATACATCTAGGCCCTCCATTCTAAATTCCTACACCATATAACTGAACGCATACGACGAAATACAAATATTGACTTATATCGTGATATACTACACACTGATTTCGTAAATTATGCTATCAAGTATACATAATAAATGCTGTACTGAGTAACTTAGAAAACAATTCTAGACCTAACTCTTTATCTTTTGTAGATTTCCACATTATTCCAACAAACTGCTGAGTAAATAACTCGCTGCAACACCATCTTAATGGGAAAACGTATGTAAATATGAAAGGTGTAATAGAGGACATCGCCATGTTTTCCCTTCAAAGCCTAGTTAGTTCTTTAATCAGGGCATTAACATCCTGATTGTAAGATGGAAAAACATCATTGATAAGAATGGAGACTATTTTATTTAATAAATGTTTTGTTTTGATATATAAGTTGTTCAGATTTTTTCATCTAAAAAGAAACAACATTAATTTCTTGACGACCTAATACAACTTACATTCCAGCTTCTCTAAAGTTTCAGTATAAAGATAAGCCATTTGTTTGTTTGTTTTGAATTTCGCGCAACGCTACACTAGGGCTATCTGCGCTAACAGTCCCTAATTTAGCGGTGTAAAACAAGGCAACTAGTCATCACCCCCCACCGCCAACTCTTGGGCTAGTCTTTTACCAACGAATAGTGAGATTGATCGTCACATTATAATGCCCCCACGGCTGAAAGGGCGAGCATGTTTGACAGGACGGAGATTCGAACCCCCGGCCCTGAGATTACGAGTCGAGTGCCCTAACCACCTGGCCATGTCGAGCTAGCGATAAGCCATTTAAAGTGATGACTAAACAAAGCGATAGTTAAAAACCAGTACAAACCTTTTCGAGCTATTTTGGGTGAAAATTCCATGTTAGAACGCAAAATAAATGACAACATAAATGGTGGAAAGTTGCACAATGAGATATCTGCGCTGTGCCCACCGCAGAGATTGAACCTCAATAGTTTTTGTCGTTATAAGCCACCAAGTTACAGCTGAGTCAAAGAAGACCAAAAATTCTAACAAACTTAGCTAAACTTTATTGAGTGGTAGTATTTTTAGGTATTAGTTAAACTTTATTGAGTGGTAGTATTTTTAGGTATTAGTTAAACTTTATTGAGTGGTAGTATTTTTAGGTATTAGTTAAACTTTATTGAGTGGTAGTATTTTCAGGTATTAGTTAAACTTCATTGAGTGGTAGTATTTTTAGGTATTAGTTAAACTTTATTGAGTGGTAGTATTTTCAGGTATTAGTTAAACTTTATTGAGTGGTAGTATTTTTAGGTATTAGTTAAACTTTATTGAGTAGTAGTATTTTCAGGTATTAGTTAAATTTCATTGAGTAGTAGTATTTTCAGGTATTAGTTAAACTTTATTGAGTGGTAGTATTTTTAGGTATTAGTTAAATTTCATTGAGTAGTAGTATTTTCAGGTATTAGTTAAACTTTATTTAGTGGTAGTATTTTTTAGATATTTTTACTTATGATGATGGCTTAGACTTCAGTAAGACGATATAAATAGTCATTTTGACTTTTAATAAATTTATGTGCACTTTAAAACGTTCAGTTGTTTATATTAGGTTGTCCAGAAATTAATGTCGCGTTTTGGAACACTTTCATTAATCACCATCTAAAAAACGTACTTCACCTATAATAGTTAAACGAACCGCCTAAACGTCACGTTAGTGTAGTATATATAATGTGTAAAGTTTAGTATAC